CTTGAAACTCTTCTCACTTCAGTAATTCTCTCAACTCACACCAAGTCTGTTCTGTTAAATTTTGAAGCCTGTGGATAAGAAAAAAAAAGTTATTTTATCTTTACAACGGAAGACATATCATTAAAGAGTTTTTAACAGTCTGACTTAATATTATAAACCCTGGGAAATTCCTGTAATATTAAACTGGAAAAGAATAAAGCAACTCTTTGTGAACTCAACGAAACAGAATACCGTGTACTTCTGGCAATGTAATTCCTTTTCGACCGATTATTTTTCTCTATAAAAATATATCAGCAGTTTCATCATTTACTATAACCATATGGCTTTCTTAATTACTCTCTGTTCCAGTTCGCAACGGCGAAACATTAATAATGAGTTATGATTCAGTAGCACGAAATCAGAACAAGCAAGAATTATCATCGACGGACAATTTATTAAAACAAACTAGAAATACTAATAGCCGACGTACACTAAAATGTAACAGATGATCCTACAAGTGAGGCGGGATTCTGTCACGTGCAAACATGCACACACTTCATACAACTTAGGCGCCTATATATAAGATTAACCCAGCGGCCGAAACGGGCGTGTACGGCAGACCCAGTAAAACTTTTAATTTCACACACCACAAAAATAAAAGTAGGTTATAAGGCTAAAAGACAATCTTGACTCAACACTACTGGTCAGATAAGAATATATTTTCGAAGTTCATCGCCGATGAAGTAATAAAGTTTTATTTTTATTTTGTTACACTTATGGCGATAGAAGTTTCCAACAAGGTCATCTTCGTTTAGACATTGCAGAACTAAAAGGAAAAAAAAGTTGGGAGGGAACGGTATTTTTTCCCCCAACGACCCAAATGATTTCAGTGTGTGTGGTTTTTAATCTTAGAGAGAATATAAGTTTCGTAATAACATAGTTATTCAGCATAGATTACTAATAACTGACCCTCAGGTTTAACATGGAGGGAAAACGTATGTACAAACGTGCACAACCACACATATATCTAAACTACATATTTATCAGATAACCTCTTGGTCACGCATGTATTTTTCGTTTATAAATATCTGTTAATATTTTCAATCAGAAATAAATACAAAATCTGTAAAATTTACTGAACACTGGAAATGCTTTATTACTAATCTTTTATCATTGTACACACAACAATGCAATGTGAAGTCCTATGATACACACATATATATGAAAGCGGGTTTTGACCAATAAGATTTTTGATTTGATTTTGGGGATCTCTATATATATGCACATCTCAAAACATATTAGTTTTTAAACGAAGAAATTAAAGACATACCGTAAATTAGTACATGTTGGTCTAATAAACCTCAAGTTTTATTCCGTCTCTCCGTTAGTTTTGGCTTAAACCAAGATTCACGATTCTTTCAACAGATAACTTGAGTATTTAACGAAAAGTACAAGCCAATATGTAGTGACATCAATTCTGACAAGTCTATCATATATGGGCATCATTGACCTATTCGATGGCGTAAGCAGTTCTTGGACACAGGATCTACGAGTTGTGAAAAGAGCATTGAATGATTCAACATAAGCGAAGACACTGTCGCCTTAGCAACCGAGTCATTGGACTGGGAAATTTGGGCATGCCAAAGAATTTTTTTTCCTGAACTTAGAAGTCGATGTTTCTCCCAGTTAACACGAACTACCACTCCATTTTGCATTCTCTAATCGCGAAACACTGGACAATGTCCTACACCGAACTGTTGGCTTGGCTGTACGGGACCGTTACCCTGAGAGTTGCGCTCACCAGACTTATGCCACTGGACATTTGGCTATGGGATAAATCAAATTTAAGGCGTGCATCTCACGTCCAGCTGCACTTTCCAATTTCAAGGATCGTATCTGGGAAACGACTGACGCAATTCCAGAACTGTGCTTGTCAATGTTTTTGACAAATGACAAAGACGCCAGCAAAAGTCACCGAGGTCGCCGGAGTACATGCGGAGGTGATATAAAACCTGGGTATGTAAACCAACGTGTATTCTACTGGATGTTCTATCTGTCTTTCTTGAAAAATTGCCACGTTTTAAAATGTATACAATAACTGAAGACATCCTGTTTGTATCATTTAATTCAACTGCTTTTATGCAAGGTTATTAATAATTTATGCAATGGGAAATTCACGTTTAGAGTAAAACTAGCGCTGAAGGACTTTTCTCACATAACACAATATTTATGACCAAACACAAATATATATACACAAAAGCACAGACCAGTAGGTGGCATGTGGAATTCGGGTTTGTTTTTGGTTTAGTAAACAGTGAACACATTTTAAAACGTAAAATGATAAAATTAGACACATCACACACACTAAACCTTAACTTATTACTAATTAGCTACATCACATTCATGAAAATTATGTAGTAAAACGAAACCTTAAACCTTCCGTCAATGAAATTATTAGATTACTATTAACGAAACAGTAAAATACACTTACTTTGTATTGTAAAACAACAACAAAGCTGACAATTCGGTTGTTTTATAAACTTAAACAATTCGTTAAGCCTTCTATCACTAGTGTGTGTACCACCTCTGCAAATTTATTATTACCGAGTAACGTACTTAATAGAGTTTTATATCATTATGATTTCAGAACCCTTTCACATTAGTAGACCGAAACAGTCTAAATTTCTGGCGAAAGGACAAAATACTCTTTCCGGCATAAAATAGAAACTGGTAAGTTCCATGTAAATATTCGGTTTATCTAATTTCCCCCTCTTTATTTTTAGTAACATGTTTTGTCCTAATTCGGCAAACGAGGTTACACGTCATGTATGAAAGGTTTAAACGGAGGATACGTGATTACGTAAATAGCTTATAACAGTATCAAAAACTTTTTCCAAAGCGTAAAAGTTTATGTACATGTAAGCTTTTGTCCAGCTACTTTAAATAGTATTACGAAAAAGAAAAAAGATAGTTATACTAACTACCAATGTTTATATCAAAAGAATTCTCCAACTCCCAGTTCTAATCCAATAATAACTTCTAAGGAAACACGCTCCTTTTCCTTCGGGATTTTTCTATCTTCCCCTTCAATGCAGTTTTATCCAAGTCGGTATTTCTAAGAATGACCATCGTTGATTTCGTCATCATAAATGTTAAGATATACGTAAATACATCGTCAGTGTTCGCATGATAAAAATAGAAGTCGCCCTTTTTAAAACATTATATTAACGTCAACAAACAAAATTATAACAAGCAAAATGAGGTAATAGTATCTCAAAACCGTTACGGTTTTGTTCCATCTTCCAGCATCGAGCACGTCTTTCTGGTTAGCGTGGAAGACTGTGGATCCAAGGGTGCATGGTTCCCGTCCCGTTATCGTAAAATTGCGCTCCGCACTTTGAGGCCGTAGGTACGTCATAAAGTGACGATCAAATATTATTATTCAATTAAAGTAACCTAAGAGTTAGCGGTGGGTGCTATTGACTAGTTGTCTTACACCTCAACTCTATCTTTTTAGCAGCGGCATAACGGCTCGTAGAATGGTTCTGAGTGTTTTTTTCAAAAACAAACTTTTAGCTCATAGCTCCTCCATCTCTTGACCGATTTGAGATCTAATTACAACCGCAGCTATTGAGGATTCCTTCTTGTTCAAAATTAGGGACTTCTAGCGTGATAATTGAAAAATAAACTTTTCATTTGCACGGAGACTATTTATTCGTCGTCCAAGGAGCTAAATAAATGAATACACGTGACCAAACCTGAAGCGGAATTATTGCTCGTAGATATAATAGTTAAAAGTTCCCAGTCTAACAAATCTTAATAATCTGAGTGAAATACATAATTTTTTGTTAAAGGGCTATTAAATATACTTCTCAAACGAGTTAAATTTTCGATCCGATCGCACAACAATGTCAAAATGTAGTTCAAATACACCAGATTGGCTGTTGTTATCATTTGACTTGCTGATTTGCATATTCAAAATTGTTTTATTCTAACGTAATCCATTGTCTAGGAATAATAATTACGGGATTCGTAGTTTGATATTAAGCACAAAGATAAACAATAGGCTATTTATGTTGTGCCCACAGAGAGTATCGAAACCCTATTTTTAGCGTTATAAACTTACCGTTGACCCACCGGGGGGGGGGGTAGAGTAATATAATTAACGTATTCAGTTTTTACTTTGATGTCATTTTTTAAAATGATAAACAAGAAACTTTGAAAGTGATAGAAATTAGAATAATCCAAAATAATAAGCAACATCGTAACTAAATGGGTAACATTATAAGACAATCACTTGAGTATTTCAAGTCAAACATAGTACACATTATTTAAAAAAAAAACTGTGTTGTGAAAAATAATTGATTTGTGATAAAAGAGTTTGAAATTTTGTAGTTAAACCTTTAACATTCCATGTATGTGGAACGTAAACATTTAGACACTTTTCCATTAAAATAATATGACACTACAGGATAGCAAGGAACCTTTTGGTCCATCTAGGCTGTCCTATCCACTAAACTAAGCCCTTAAAAAAACAAATTGAAAGCCTGGTATTATCACTGAAATATTTGTCAAGCTTTCTGTTAAACTTCTTTAAATTAACTGCATCCACAACAGCCGAAGACAACCCATTTTTAGAGGCCAACCACCCTGTTAGAAAAATAAAGCTGTCTTAGCTGAATATGACTTCTTCCTTGTCAAAATTTATATTTATGTCTCTTAGACTTACCATTATCACCATTAAATATATATATATAAAGAATACATCAACACTATCAATTCCCTTAATCTAAAACACCTCAATCAGATCCTTTCTAACTCTTATTTTATCGAGAGAAAACAAGTTCACAGATTTTAACCTATCCAATCTTTCCATCCCAGTAGTTCTCCTTTGAACCCTTTCCAACAATTCAATGTCCTTTCTGAGGTAAGGAGTCCAAGACTGAACACATATATAGTCTAGCCAATGATATTATAACCTCTTTAAACTTATATTCAGTATTTCTTTAGATACAACCTAAAATCCTATTTGGCTTAAGAGATTGATTAGCCAAAAAAAACCAAGATTTTTCCCCATAACACTGTTAAGGTTTTTCTCATTAAAATTATACTCTATTTCGGCGTAAGAAAAAAGAAAGTTCACAAACAAATTAAAACTTCTATTTATCGTGAAAGTCTTTTCAGATATTATTTTATTATAAATTAATATATATTAGTTTAAATACGTGAAATGTGTAAAGCAAATCAAACCGCAATTCGAACGAAAATCTTATTATAGAATTTGATACGAAAGCTTAAAATAAAAAAAAAGGTGGCCCGGCATGGCCAGGTGATAGGGTGCTTGACTCGCAGTTCTGAGGGTAGCGGGTTCAAATCCCCGTCCCACCAAACATGTTGGCGGTGGGTGGTGATGACTAGCTGCCTTCCCTCTAGTCTTTCACTACTAAATTAGGGACTGATAGTCCTCGTGTAGCTTTGCGCGAAAATCAAAACAAGCAAACATCAAAAAGAGAATAATACATGTTAACCACAGATAATGATACATGTTAACCAGATAATGTAACTGAACTTCGAAATTTAAAATTGCACGATGATATAATTTTTTGTCATGGTTTTTGAACCTTAGTTTCTACAGTGTATTTTATACATACCTTGTGAAGACAACAACAAATGGCAAGAGAATATAAGAAACGGTATGTAGCAATAACAGATTGTGGAATTTGTGGATCTCGTGACCACAAAACCCCAGAAGTTGTTAGCTAACTGTGGTACAAAATAACGAGGAAAAATTATACATAAAAACTAATCCTGTTGTGTGTTCAGAAGTGACGCATCTTGGTCTTGTTAATTTTATACTTGCTATATTTAAAAGTAGGACAAGTGCATGCACCGTATCAAGACAACCAATACAGTCTTACCATCTTGTAACTTTCCGTAAAAAGGAGTTTCTTAAAGATACGAAATGATCTTGTTAGGTTGCATTAAACACATAACCCCCTCCACACCTGTTCTATTTCTGACGTCATAAGAATCTTCCATGTTCCCTACTTGTATATCCAGTTGTGTAAAAAGTATTCTTTTAAAATACTTTGACATTAAGTCTTGTGCCAACCCCCTCTGGTGGCTTATGATAAAAAATAGAAAACTAAAAATAAGTATGTTATAGATAGCCGAGAGGACTGATATTTTTGTTCAAGTGCAACATTTGATACATATGTCGTCTAAAGTTACCCTCCCTTAAATTAATAACTTTTACAGATAAATGATTAAGTATAGAAAAGAAGAAAATCAAAATTACATAGTTAAAGATATTTTTAGCGCTTAAATTTCATTAAATTAAAATTAAGGTTAGATAAGAGTGTGGTCAGATAGCTGTAAGACCTATATAAAATCTGTTTTTTGTCTCAACACATTGAACTTGACACTTTTAATAAATCGCTTTAAATGTTAAATGTGTAAATAAAATTTCTGACTATTCTAAATCAGTAACGTATTTGAAAACAAAGCAACCACACCGGTCTTTAATCGAAAAAATAAATAAATAATTTACATTAAATATTAAGTTGAATCATTTCAATAATGTAAAAGAAGTGATCAATAAGAGAAGTTTGTATCGCTTTCAAAAGGCATTCTGTTTTAACTACTAATTTAATAGGTTAGAAAAACAGTATGATACACACAGTTTACATGACTGTTGCCTTTGAAAAAAACATCTTTATAGGCTTTGTAACTTAACAAACACTTAAATGTTTAAATTCTTGTCCCTAAAGTTTGGTTTGTTTGTTATGGATTTCGCGCAAAGCTACACGAGAGGTATCTGCG